CTTCCTCCAAATCTGGGAATTTTTTTTTCTTCTTCCTCCTTCTCCTTCCTCCTTCTTCTTCTTCTTCTTCCTCCGAATTTGGGAAAGATTTTTTTTTTCTTCTTCCTTCTTCTTCTTCTTCTTCTTCCTCCGACTACAACTTTTTTTTTTCTTCCTCCTTCTTCTCCTTCTTCCTTCCTCTTTCTTCCTTCCCCTTCTTCTCCTTCTTCCTCTTTACTAGCAATGATGTCGTTCAAATTCGTCTTTGACGAGAGTCGAACCGAAGACATTTCACTTACAAGTAAAGAGGAATACTACTCAACCGTAATACTCAATAGCTTCAAGGATTTTTTATAGAGCTGCTAGACCCACCACATGTCCTATTTTTTCACTCACATTATAATCTCATCCACACACAAAAGTTAAAAAAAAAATTGAAATGTTATTTCCCCACTCACTATTATTCCTAAAATAACCTCTAATATGCTCTTTCCCCACCCACCATTATTCTTAAAAAATTAAAATACAATTTTCCCAACAATGAAGTCTCCTCCGACGATAATCTATAAGCAACTAATTATCATTAATATTCAATCATCATAAGTTGCTAGTTATTACCTTTTAATTGGGAAAGACATCCACACTTTCTCTTTTCAGAATTTCTTCTATCCTCATCTTTAATGTCTTTTTTATGAATTTGGCTTACATATTATCCATTTCTTCCAAAACCGAATATTAGTAGGGCTCATGTTACCTTTTTACCCCCAACCTATTTTTATTATAATCTTTCTTATCAGTCATTTTACAAATAGGCAAACTTATAATTAAAATTTTCATTAAAAAATGGGTGGAGAAATAAAACACTAGAATGAGAATAACACTTAAACCTTGCTTCCATCTTCCTTTTTTTTCAAAGTGGTCTAACATTTTAAAATGGAAAAATTAGTATTAGGTCCTTAGTTACTAACGTTCTTTGATTGAAACTTTATTAGTTTTCAGATTTTGATCAAGGTCCCTACCATTACTGCAATAATGAATTTACATGTCAGTTACATAATTTTTAAAATAAAAATTAATAATTGATTTAGGATTTTAATGCTCACACCTTTATTAAACTCCTAAATAATTTTCAATTCAAAACATTTCCAAAATAAATAAAAAATTAGAATAAGTTTGTACCCCTTAATTTTTTATAAAAGGGTTTCCAATTTTTTAATCTTGTATTACCCATTCATGTAATTTTTCAAATTTTTAATCTTAAAATGTACCCATTCTTAAATATACCAATTTGTTGTAGTAAAATGAACCCTATTTTTATATAAAATCTATTCAATATTTTTCTAATCCATTTTTAAACTTATATGGGTACATTCTTTTTCTTGATTTGAGAATGTATCCATGTCAAGTTTAATTAAAGAAATTTACTAATGTTATTAAGCCTAATATCTATTGTTTTTTGTGTGGTTTTGAAGAATGTACCCATATTTTGGTACAATAATTTTTTTGTTAATTTTAATGAATGTACCCATGTTTACACACACACACACACACAATATATTGGAGAGTATAATGTATATTTTAATAATTTTAATCACAAATTATGGGTTTTTTTATTTAAAATCTCATTAATACAAACAACTATAAATTTCAAATTTTAATTTAAAAAATATAGTAACCTACATAGAAATACATTATCACATTAATTTCAGGGACTTCGATTAAAAATTGAAAACCAACAATGTTTCAGTCAAAGAATATTGATAGTTAGGGACCGCATCCAAAATGTCATTTTTAAAATTTAAATAATAGGTGTACTATTTGTTGGTGTTAAAAAATTTGGTCTTTTATAACAGTGACTAAGATAATTGTAAATTTTTGATATGCACATACTTCGTTTATATTTTACATAAACTATAGATAAATTAACTTTGAATTAAATAACATGTCCATATTTTTGTACTAATTAATTTACCTATATATAAATTTATTTATGATCAGTATGTAAATTATTGTGCATGTGTCATTGTTTTTTTTTTTTTTTTTAACAAACGATAGTATTTACTTTCTACACTAAAGGGTGGAAGAGTGAGCAAAGCCTTACAAAGAGTTTGCTATAATAATGTGGTTTAACTTCACTTTGGAGAGAATCAAATGTAAAACCTCTCACTTATAAGTGGAGAGAAATACTATTAGACCGTAGTACTAAGTAGTGCATTCAGCCACTGATGTGTGACAATAATGTATAAAGTTAAATATAATTAATAAACTTATGTGAATCTAGCCACTGAATTTTTTTCGAATAAAAAATTTATATGGATTTATGCGGAGAAAATTATGTTTCAATATTTTAAAGTCCATTTTCAGTAAAAGGAAATCGTTGGGGACTTGTCAATTTTGTTAGCTCAAACTCAAACTCTCTCTCTGGAACTTGAGAAAGCTGAAAGATTACAGCTCCGCCACAAGTTTTGAGAAAACGGGAGGTGGGGCTGAGTTTTGATGGAGGGTGATGGAGATTTTTGAGCGGAATAGGATTCTGTCCGGATTCTCTTGTGGGAATTTGAATGATCAATCAATTATGTCCGTTCATAGTAAATCGTGCGATTATAAATTATTTTGAATTTTTTATTTAAAATTGAATATAAATATTATTTAATGAAAATTGACAGCACAATATACACTGAACGGACACGATTCATTCATTTCCAGATCCCTACAAAGAGGACCCTGGTCCTTTCTCAGCCACCAGTTGGATATCTGACATGGGGCCCATTGAGTTTCTAGTAAATGTTGTTACTCTGCTTTGGTGGCTTTTGCCTTGGAGACTCTGGTTATGGCTCCGATCCTGCATTGCCGTCCACAAACCATGTTTGGGTGCATAAATATACATGAGTGGGATGGGAAGGACGTGACACCATGAATACCACTAACCTACTATTTTCTTCAAGATCTGAAAATCCAAAAGAAAATTTTGTTCTTACAAGAGAAAAATAATTCTCACACACTTTACAATCTTCAACTTTTTTGTTTTTTTTCATATTTTCTTAATTCACGGATAATTATTCAGATTTGGTAAAGAAGGAGAGTGTAACAGAATAATAGAGAGCGAAAATCATTTCTCTTCTAGATAATGTGGCACATATTCAATTTTATTTATTATACTACTGTTGTGATGTTAGAATATTATACAAGTGATTTGATCTCGAAAGCTCTTTGTGAGAAGTTTTCACCAAAGGGGTGTGCTATCCACACACCCCTTTTAACTTCTCACACACCCCTTGTTAATTTATGTCCGTTGATATTCTTCAATTTATCTGATCCGACGGTCGAAACCTAAAAAAATATGAGAGAAGTAAAAAATGATATGTGGATATCACACCCCTTCACCAAATATGTAATGCTTATTAATTGTGGACTCATGAATATTTTCCTATTGGGAACAAAGTTAAAAGGCTTTTAAACATTGAATCGCTGATTCTAGGAGCATTTTCACCTGTTGCCTTTGAGCAAAGGCAATGGCAGTGCAATTGCTCCAAAACATCTCCAATGGGCCAAAAAATGGAGGGCAAAGTTGTGGGTCAAGCAATGCTCATCCAAATGTCCGTGCATTTAAAGCCGGTCTTGCGCCAGCAGGCATGGTTGACTTCAGTGCTCTAAGAATTCCGGCCTAGTGTCTAGGCGGTGCCAGGCAGCTGGTCACTATCAATATTAATTACTAGGCATTTAAAAAATAAGATTAGGCGTCTAGACCTACCTAGAAGTCCGCCTAGGTGCTTACATTGCAACTCTCACTTAGACAAAAAATAAATAACTTCCACTTTGTATTTTATTTTTCAATAAATTTTTGGATACTTGTATGAGCAATCATTATATACTTGTTACCAATATTTTGAATATGTTTTAGTACTTTATAATTTAAATCGCATTCTATTTTGCAATTTATATTCCAATTATGTATTTTTTAAGTATAAGTAGACATTTATTTATATGTTATATAATAAATTAACTAAAATTAAAAACCCACCTAAACGCCTAGGCCCCTTCCCTTCCCACTGCCCGACTAGCGCCTTTAGAACCTCAATTAACGTTAGCTAACAAAACCTACAACAGTGAGGCCTCCTGCAATAGTTCCAACAGAAGAACACAACGACTATGACGTGGCGCAATGCGAGGTGTTCGATTTCCAACGGCCTGATGACTTGGACTGTTGGATTTTCGAAGGAAAAAAATTGAAAAATTACCGTTATGCCATGTGGTACATTCTGGTGCATCAGATTCAACAGTAAGAAAAAAACAAATGATCAGGATTAATCCAATCGTTAAAAATGAAAAAATAGAGGAAAAAAGGAAAAGTTTAATTTTTTTTATTCTATAAATACCCAACCATTTTCTTCATTCTCCACACCACAACTCAATATTCCATAAATACCCAACCACTTGTTGCCTTGTTGTAATGATGCGCTTTGCTTTGTATTTGAAATTAAATTATTGGAGTTAAACATGAGTTTTGTTTTCAGATAACAAAATTATAAAGTTCACACTCAAACACACAATACATAAAAAATACGCAACGGGTGGAGTTGCACAATGGCATTGGCAATTACTTTTTAGAGTAACAATTACTTGCCATTGCCCTTACACTTGCACTCCCCCAACAGTGGAATTCCTCTAATAATTTTGGAGACAAGTGTCTTAAGAATTTGCTCCCTTGCCAAGTTGCCACGCCTGACTTGTTTTTGGAGACATTTGTCCAACATGTTGCTTCCATGACATAATTTAAGGGTGGTGAAACATGCGAGTAGGAATGTATGGGGAACAACATTCCCTCGTCCTAGTGCAGATCCACAACTATCGTTAATTAAGTTAAAATTTATGCGTTTTATTATGTTCGAAACCTATCTTTTATCTGGCCATCCGACCTTCCTGTATGCATTCAATTTATGTGCTTCATTTAACCTCAAATTAGAACAAGTGAAGAAAGAGAAACTTCAGTAAGATATGTATCCAACTCTATGGGGCCAAAATAACTAGAACGTATTCGGGAGCTTCTTTTTTCATTAATATGAGCTTAATCACATGCCACATATTGGCTTCAAGAGATTTAAGTATATTCACACACAGTACAACGCAATCTTCCTCGCATTTTTTTTATTACATAGCAGAAAACCAATACAACTTGTCTTCAGATCAAGACATGATAGATATACAGACACCTGCAGTACACTTGTAACATTTTTCCCCAGTAGACAAGAAGCGGTGGACCATTTCTCTCTTTCCGAAACTCAAAATGAGAAGTTCATCATGTCCAGGCTCAAGCTCTCCATCATCACAGTTTCCATGAATCCACAACTAGTCGATGCCTTCTTGAAACTACTGCCTCGGGGCTTGAAGTAACAAGCAGAGATTGGAATGATGGGGATGTTCTCACAGTTGCAGAGCTCGATCATATACCCATCCGGGTCATGGAAGAACACCTGGTCGACCTTGACCCCATCATCCTCCACCACGGCTGTCACGTACCTCATCCCCATATCTTGCAGCCTCCTCTTAACAAGTCCAACATCAGTGCACTGCATGTTCATCACCGAAAAATATCTGTTATATTTGACCATAATTAATATTACAGGTTCTATAAGTAGCAGTGCAGCTCTTACTTGGAAGGAGATGTGGTTGTCCTTGGGATTGATCGGTCGCAATTCATAGTCTTCCATTGCCGGACTTTCAATCAAGTGTATCCCAATTCCATAGTTATACAACCTACGCAAGGTCAGACAGATTAACTTGTTATTTTCTTTTACACAAAGCCGTGGATATGCATGTATTTGTTTACAAGATACAACCGTAATATTCAACTTTGCTGCATGTGAAAAACAAGTCTATACTATTAGGCCTTATGTTTATTGAATTTTATTTTTGGCACTCTAAAAAGCATGATAAGAGAGAGAAAGCTAACCAGGCTCCATTGAAGTTGAAGGACGAGGGGCGTTTGATGAGAACAAAGCCCAACACTTCTTCATAGAACCTCATAGAAGTCCACACTGATCTGCACAACAAAGACACATGATTTAAAGAAAGCAAAGGCAGTGCCTCGCAGTTGCTGGCTTCCTCAATCTCCATATCACACTCTTACGATAACTCTCACTTGCACTTAGTCTCTCTATGATTTTTCGTATGCCCTGCATCACAAAACTAGAGGGAGTGCCTTTTATAAAGCCACACTTTGGAGTATCTTTCAAGTTCTATTCAAAATTTTGCACAGCATCCTTACTCTTGTGAGGAACTTTCCTAGCAGATTCTCACAAGTCATATATGACAAGTTAAATCTAGTCATCCTCTTAGCTAATGTCCACGTTGATATATTGGGAGGGTTGTAATATCTTTGAATGCCACATCGACTGTGTCACAGTAGAGGGTATTTTTTCCACTCAGGGCGGAGAGGAAAAATCGAATTTGGATCTCTTCCATCGTTGGGAAGAGAAATAACATTATACCAAGAATTAGTTGGTACATTAAAAGATAAGTACTTATTTTAGACACTGTGCAATTTATTTTTTCGAGGCTTGAACCCAAAACAAGTTCAAATGCTTACAGAGTTTGCTAGCCTAAAGCAAAAACAAGACAATTGTGGTGATTTGAATTTGACTCAACCTCATTGGAATCGAGGCCCTTTCAATAGTACTTTGAAGCTTTTGAAAAGAGGGAACAACAAGGTGCCAAATCTTGAGAAATTTCTTTGATGTTTCCTCTCCCACATCACATTCTTTGTCCTCTGATCTTCCAAACTCAACAGATCCAAAATCGAAAGTTAGGGCGAGATATCATCACCAAGAGATTGACGCCTCCTTGAGTAAATTTCGGACGGTAATAATCAAAATGTTTTGAATGTGTTTCTAATTCTTTCCAGCACATGTAGCTTGAATTTGGGGTTTTGTTCATATGATGTGCCCTGTTTAATATATGAAAGTGACAAAAAGTACTGGCATGACCATTTTAATCCGTCATATGTTTTGTAGCTTTTTCTATATTTTTGGGTGATTCTATATCTTGTGTTTAGGCGTATGTCTTCAGTAATTTTTTGCTTTTGGGCTAGTTTTTTATTTTTTTATTTTTTTGGTAAACTGGACATTTATTTCCAAGGCAAAGCCAAAGTACAAGGAAAGCCCAACAAAGGACTAACAAGAATACAACAAAGGAGTGTAAGAGGGATACAGCAAAAGAGTTGACACTGAAACAGCTTCACAGCATCACCCTAGACACTCCTACAAAACTAAACTTGATGTGGGCAGGGTAGTCAATCTTTGTTCAAAATATGCACAATCGAAGATGGAGGTCTATTGACCCAAGTAGCTTCGCTCATCTCTGAGTTCTTAAAAGATGCAGTCCAATCAGCCACCATATTTGCTGATCTAGGGACCCAAGACCATCGGCATGATCATAATGAATCCTTCATCTGTATAATTTTCCATAAAATTGGGAAAGCCTCCCATCTACCATTACATATGGAGTTTTTTAAGCATAGAATGATCTCCATTGAGTCTGATTCTATAATAATTTTATCTAATCCCAATTGTTTAGCCAAAGTACAACCATCCATGATTCTGCCACTTGAATCCTTGAAGCTTTGATGCATGATTTCCTAGCTGCAACAAACTTGCAATTTGAATCTTTGATCACCATTCCCACATTTCCTGATTTAGAGGTTGTGTTCCAACTAGCATCCACATTTATTTTGAAAAAAGAAATCTCAGGTGGAAACCTAGTACCAAGTTGAGGATTACCAATTAGATTTCGCCGGTTGCGTGATTGCATTTGAGTTGCAACCTTTTGATTTCTTCTAGTAAGTGCAATTAATCTTATGAATAACCTTCAAAGGTGACACAATTTTTTGATTGAAAATAGCATTGCATCTTTCTTTCCAAATGTTCCAACAAGTAAATGCAACTTGTGACATCAGTACAGTTTTTTCTTGCTTGCTCCCCCCATATTGGTTTCAATTAAAGAATTTAACCAATTACTAAAAGTAGTAATTTCATTCTTATTCACCTTGTAATAGAGTTGACCACCAAACCAAACTGGTTCAACCCACGGACATCGCAAGAGCAAATGTTCCACAGATTCCTCCTACTCTTTTTAAATGGGGCATATTGGTGAGGCAACAACATGTCTCATGAATAAATCCAACCTCTTGGCAAGAGCTCTATGAAGTACTCTCCACATGAAAGTCTGAATTTTTGGAAGGGCTTCTAACTTCTAGACACTTTTCCACACTCGATTACTAATTTGTGGCAGTGAGAAGCCCTCTGAAGTCTATTAAGATGATCATTGCTATGAATCCAATGGTAACCTGATTTAACAATTAATTTTTTTCATAGGCCAGATTAGCCTACCATTGCAACTAGGATCCCCTATTTGTACTTCTTTTATTTCATTGATCTCCCTCTGCGATATAATAGAACTAATAGGCTGAAGATCCCATTCCTATTTATAATAGTAGCCTCGCATGGATTAGGATGCCCATTTGGGAATGATGGAACCCATCTGTCAACCCAAAGCATTATGTTATTCCCACTCATTACCTGCCATTGTGCACCTTTCAAGAGAACCTCCATCCCTTCTGGTAAGCTTGCCCATGCCCACGAAGCTCTACTTCCTTTTTTTAGCATCTAGAAATGAGGAATTCTGGAAATATCTTGCTTTCATAAATCTGACCCATAACAAATCTAGTTCATTCATCATTCTCCAACATTGTTTAGCCAACATGGCAACATTAAATTCTTGAAAATTTATGAACACTAATCCTTCATCTTGTTTCAGCAGGCCTAACACTTCCCAACTGACCCAATGGATCTTTTTTTCTTCATTATTCTAACCCTACCAAAATCCTACTAGAAGAGAATAAAATTCTTTACAAATAGTCGCAGGAAATTTAAAGATATTCACTGGGTAGACTGGTATAGCTTGTGCTACAGCTTGGATAAGCACTTCCTTCCCCGCCTGTGACAATAGCATTTGTTTCCAGCCTTGAATTTTCCTCATCAAATGTTCTTTAATATATCCCAAAGCTTGCCTTTTTGATTTACCCCAGATTGTTAGGAGACTGAGGTAAGTTCCAGTATTCTCAACTACTGACATTCCCAAAATTCCACCCAAGTCCTCCATTAAACTTTTTAGGGTATTATTGATGAAATAAACGCTTGATTTATTGAGGCTAACCTGCTGGCCGGATGCTGCACAATATGCATTTAAAATCTAAACAATATTCCTGCAATTTTATTTTGTGGCCTGGAGGAAAATTAAAGTATCATCTGCAAAGAACATATGTGAAATGCTCAGACTATTTGAGCTAATTTTTACTCCTTTAATATAATTCAAATCCATAGCTTTTTGAATGAGCAAAGAGAGAACATCACTTACAAATAGAAATAGGTAGGGTGAGAGAGGATCCCTTTGTTGAAGTTTGTGGGAAGGGAGAAATTTCTGGCCTGGCTGGCCATTGATTTTGATGGAAAAATCAATCGAGACCACTCATTCCATTAATAAATCAATCCACCTCATATCCAATCCCATTTTGATCATGACCTCCTTCAAGAAGTCCCAATCCACTCGATCATAAGCCTTATTCATATCCAACTTTATTCCTAACTCAAACTTGTTTTTCGTTTTTCTTAGTTTCATAAAATGAAATATCTCATGGGCTATCATGATATTATCTTGAATTTACCGACCAGCAACAAAAGCATTCTGCATTGGAGAAATTAATTTTAGTAAAAAGGATTTGAGATGATTAGCAAGAACTTTAGAAAGTACCTTATAAGAGAAATTGCATAAGCTTATGAGTCTGAATTAAGCTACAGTCTCCGGATTCGAGACTTTGGGGATTAGAACAATCTGCGTGGAGTTTAATTTTTTAGGGCTAGCCTCCCCATTCATAAAATTGTTGGAAATTCCTTTCATTTCGTGGGAAATTACATCCCAATAACATTGATAGAAGATTCCTTGAAACCCATCAGGACCTTGCGCCTTCAAGCCCCTCATTTGAAACACTGCTTCTTCAATCTCATCATCTCTTAACGGTCAAGTGAGAGTAAGGTTCATCTTCGCGGTTACCTTCGGCTCAATACATTCCAAAATTGTGCCCCAATCTCCTGTCAGATGCAAATAAAGTCTTGTTGATCCTCAACAACTCTTCTTATTTGTTTAGGATTTTCAACCCATTGCCCTTTACCATCCTTGATCTTCACAATCTTGTTTTGCCTTCTCCGTTGCACCGTGGTCTGATGGAAAAAAGAAGTATTAGCATCTCCGTCTTGCAACCTATTGGAAGTAGGGTTAAATTAACCACTCAAGTGCACTCAAGTATGTCTCCTAAGTGGTTAATCAAGTGTGTAGGGTTAGGGTTAAAACAACCACTCAAGAGCACTCAAGTGTGTCTCCTAAGTGGTTAATCAAGTGCACTCAAGTATGTCTCCTAAGTGGTTAATCATTTGTTCTCTTTTCTTAGGAGTCCACCGGTTGTGGCATAACTCAATGAGAGTTCATCTCTTTATATTCGGCTGAACAATTGTAATGTTTGCATGAAAGAAATAATATACAATCCTTGAAAATCAATATGGTATCAGAGCAGGAAAAATAACATGCTTCTGCTTTACTATCATCTGAACGTGTTCAATCTTCAAAATGGCTGAAGACAATCCAATTAGGTCTGATGCTGAAAGGTCACTGGTTCTTTCCTCCATGAATATGCCTGAGGTGGATGTCAATCCAAATCAAAGATTAAGCTCAGTCTTGTTGAATGAGTTTAATTATTTGCCTTGGTCGAGGGCTGTATCGCTTACCCTAGGTGGAAGGTCCAAGTTAGGATTCATAAATGGAAGCATCGAAGTTCCTGATGCTTCCTTACCAGCTTATGAATCCTGGCTTAGCAAGGATCAGCTGGTGATGTCATGGCTCCTGAATTCCATGGAACGTAAACTAGCTGAAATATTCAGTTACTCTGAATCTTCACTCCAGTTATGGGAGACTGTCAAGGAAATGTATGGCAGTCAGAAAAATGCTGCATGGGTTTTCCAATTAAAGAAGGACATCTCCAACCTGCAACAAAAAGGTAAGCCCTTTGTACAACTTCTAGGTAGCATGAAAAACATGTGGAATGAGTTGGAAATATATCGCCCTCATACCACTGATGCGGCTTTGCTACGGA